AGGCAAGAAGTAGGACCCGTGTAAATATCGGATCAGCTTTCCAGCGCTGGAGAGAACTCAAGGAGCGGAAGGCCTGTGATCGGACACTGAGGTTGCTTTGTTTCTTCTCGATAGGTGAGTAACACCGTGTCTGCGTACTGGACGCGATAAAGCAATTGTTGAAAATCATTTGAAATTTGTGTCAATACGTCATGAATAGAATGCAGCAGCAGTTTTCTGTCGGATTTGTCGTGTCATGCCGTGCCGCATCCAGTGTAGACCATAGATATGTATATATATCTATGGTGTAGACAGCATCACTGATTATGAGTTCTATAGTATTTTGTTGCGCCGCACCACTCGCGTCCGGTGTAGACACAGTGTAACATTGGTTTTGCTTTGTTTCACAGAACTAATTGTTGCCTGGGTTGCGTACGTATGTGTGGGGCGGAGCTATCAAAAATAGGGACGAGACCCTTTTGGGGTAGGGGCGTGTTTGTTTTGGTGATTTCAAATGTCAACATTGGTAACCAGAAATCACTTACCCCACCTTTAACATTAACCACAGACTGTAAATGATTTTTCAGAAGACAATCTTCCATTGTCAACAGTTTGTCCAGGACTTGTTTAAGTCCTATATCTGTCTAACCATCATAACATCTTCTAGGATGGTTGTTCCAAGCCCCTTCCATTGGATGTCGCTTTGTTAATTCTTGCAAATGAAGGCCCCAGGGTGGAGGAAATCATCCAGCTTCTGGACTGGCGGGTGGAGTCTGACCACTACATTTTGGTCCTAGAGCGGCTTGTTCCCTTTGAGGAACTGAACTGGTTTCTCCTGCGGCAAATAGTGACCATTGAAGAAGATGTGGAATGGGTCATCATGCGCCAGGCAACATTCGCAGCTCAAACATGCTGCCGATGTGGAGTGTTGCACCGGGATATTAAGATGGAAAACATTCTTATTAACCCGGACACACTAAGTGAAATTAATTGACTTTTGGTGTGGTGATTTCCTCGTCCTTACTGGTATGTATGATCCCTCAAAGCTGTGAAGTGGGTCTCAAACTCTGGTGATGAGTTGAGGGCCAGTCACACAGGACTCTGAGTGAATCAAGCTCTCATGAAGCATCCAGAAATGGGATCCACTGTTGTGAATCAAATGGCATCAAATCATTTCTTGCACGATAGTGAAGAGCACAAGAGAGTACTGCCCTCCTGAATATCTGATGACCGGCCAGTACCACGGGGAACCAGCGACAGTGTGGTCTCTGGGGATCCTCTTGTTTGCATTGCTGTGTGGAGATTTCCCAAAAATACAAGACCTGGAAAAGATTAAGCGTAACACCTGGGCCAAAGAGGGTTTGTCGAAAGGTGAGAGCTTCACTTCAGCAAAAGACAATTATAAATCTGAAGCATACAAAATAGAATTTCAATGTAAATTTGATGTAATAATCAGACATCTCTCTCTTCTTTCTGCATAGAATGCTGCGATAGTATTTGTGGCTGTCTGCAGTTTGACCCAAAGCAGCGGATTGAACTGGAGAAACTCGGTCTTCACGACTGGTTTACAGTATGACAGGAAGCCAATGCTGCTTCAGGCCCCCAGAAATTCACAGAAGTGGAGAAATGTACCCCGATGGAAATATTCATGGCTGTTCCAGTCCTCAACCCAGAGATGTTTAATAGAAATAATAGATAGATAAGATAGATAGATAGATAACATAGGATGATAAGATAAGATAGACATAAGATAAGATTAGATAGACATAAGATAAGATAGACATATAAGGTAGATAGGATAGGTTAGATATTAAACATTTAAAGATTTTTTTAGATAAATTAAAGATTTAAAATAAACAAATATTTATTACTTTTTTGTGTTGCTTTCAGATGCTGGATAACATGATCATCAGCTCTTACTAAGAATATTGTATACTAGTAGAATAAACAAACAAATAGCAGAATTTGTGTAAATTTTTTCGGTTTAACTTGTTACACTGATTTTATAATTAAAATTATATAATTAAAAAAGGTTTTAAATAGAAAAACACATTCACATAACACATATCTGTTTATTATCTTTCCCAATTAAATATCATTTTAAATTATATTTTCTATAACAACAGTATGATTTATACATTGCTTTATGGAGAGTGGGCTTTAAATACACACTCCAAGGAGAAACATGAATAAAAAGGTATGAATGGTCAGTGATATTTAAGAGACAGCATAGGGAACCATTGCACCATCTCCTTTATGGTAAGTACCTCATGCTTATCTTCATATTTTACTCTTATTTTCTTCATAATTCTGTTTGTTGGTTGGACCACATGACTTTGGCATTCATGCCATATAACTACTCATACAGTTAAGCTCAGAGTCAAAAACTGCACCTCAGATTTTTTTGCATAGGCGTATACATTTACAGAAAAGGACCCCAGATTTGGGTGTTTTTATGTGATTTTTCTCCTTTTAATTTTTGTAGACAGTTTATGTTTTACGTTTTCATAACTAATGTTTCTCACCTGCACAGATTTGAACCCTGTGTGTAACAATAAATGCAACTTGAGGAGAGGGAAGAAACCCGTTTTTAAATTGAGGGTAGTAGTAGTAAAATGTGCAGTGTCTGTTGCACCACAAGGGGTCGCAATGTTTCTAGGTTTACACCAGTTTGCCTTGCCCCAGTTTTAGGGCCAAGCAACTGTATTTTATACTCCCTAAAACAGAACTGTGCAGGTCCACACAATGTGTGGCCAAAAACCTCAGTAAAAACCTTTAGAGATTTACACAGAAAAATCTTTACGACTCAAATTTCAGCAGTTCAGTTTGGTTCAATCTTACTATCCTGTGAAATGCAGTTTTTATTTGTGTTGTTAGGAGGTTTTGTGGTGGACCCATGATAGAGAGATGGTAGTTTTACATTTACCTACATTTGCAGTAAGTTTATTTTAAATGGTGTATGCTATTATTTATTTGCTATTGTTTAAAATCGTTATGTGTTAAATAAGGTAATTTAGCCACTCACATTCCCACGGTCACCTATTATGACCTGTTTGAATGCGCTTCATGGTTCTAATCATGTTTCTATCTAAAGGTGGTGAGAATGAAGCTTTGGACTCATAAAGACCCATCTTGACGTATCCTCCCTGTGTGCACTATTGATATTCTGAGGAAGGTAATCAATGCCCGCTGACTAAGGTAAAAGCTTGATCCTCTCAGGTGCAGGACACTCTGCTGCTGTTACGTGACGCAGCATTTTTCTCTCATCAGAAAGATGCCAGGTCAGCAAATTTAGCTTTTGTTGTAATTTTGCATTATTAGAGCAGCATCCTGTTTGTTGTCTCACTGGCTCGGGTGTCATTTTCAGATATTTCATAAAGCCGGTGAACGCATAGACCAGAGTAAATATAAAACTCTCTCTGGGTTCCTCTACGACTGTTATATAAGAGCCAGTAGAAGATTTGATTGGGTCACTCGTACCATGCTGTCTTAAAATAGTGGAGGAAATAACTCTACATTTTTACAGATAGAAATCATATTAGGTAGCTTCTGAAGTCACAATATGATAATAAAAAGAATTTTAAATAATTTTGTTTGCAGGTTTAGGTGCATGCTGCAATTTTTGTCGTTGCCCGTTCTTTACTAATTTGTAAAATCATAAACTGACAATTAATTAAGAAATATTCCATGTCTTTCTATTTTTTTCTCCTTTTAAAATCAAATTATTACAAACAAAAGGCAATTTCTTGGAGATATTGGTTTCGTTTGTTATCAATTATACAGTATATTTGAATGATGGAAATCATATTAGTTGACATATGTGACCCTGGAGCACAAAAGCAGTCTTAAGTAGCATCGGTATATTTGTAGCAATAGCCAAAAATACATTGTATGGGTCAAAATTATTGATTTTCTTTTATGCCAAAAATCATTAGGATATTAAGTAAAGATAATGTTCCATGAAGATATTTTGTAAATTTCCTACTGTAAATATATTCAAACTTAATTTTTGATTAGTAATATGCATTGCTAAGAACTTCATTTGGACAACTTTAAAGGCGATTTTCTCAATATGTTGATTTTTTTTGCTCCCTCAGATTCCAGATTTTCAAATAGTTGTATCTCAGCCAAATAGTATCCTATCCTAACAAACCATACATCAATAGAAAGCTTATTTATTCAGGTTTCAGATGATGTATACATCTCAATTTTGAAAAATTGACCCTTATGACTGGTTTTGTGGTCCAGGGTCACATATTAGCTTTTAATAATAAATAATAATAATAATAATAAATTAAGTGAATTTTAAATCATTTTACCTGTTGGTTTAAGTGCATGTTGCAATTTTTCTTAATGTCCTTGGTGCTGCACTAGTTTGTAAAGTGCTGAACTAACAATTATTTTTTCCCCTTTTTCAAATAAAATTATATTTGTTTAATTTGTTATAAAGTATAGTTTTTACTTTTTCTCCAATATCACTTTCTATAATCTTAATATTTTGTAAAATGCTTTTAACTAACCAAAGCCATTTCCTTAATGACATCATCCAATAGGAAGTGTGATGTCATCTTGGAGGGAAAACAACAGCATAAACACCAGTGAGTATTTTGTGGTATTGTTAGCTGTTTGATGAAATATGGTTTGAACAATATTTCATGAACAGTATTACATATTGTTTGATGAAATTACTCTAATCTGTAGGACAATATCAAAACATACCAGTATTAATAAAAGAACTCCGTTACACCCTCATGTACATTAACGCTCTTTATTTCCACCCTCTTCTCTTTTTTGCCATTACCGTTAATAATTTTAGGTTTTTACTTCCCTTTTATAGTGAAGAAAACCATTTTATTCCTTTTTACAGTAATATTTTTAAAATTACAACACAAGCATATTTATTTCTTAAACGTTACAGTTCATAAAGAGTGAGTTTTAAAATTGGAATTATGCTTAAATTATGTGTTTTTAAAGTTATTGCTATGAAATGTGATTTTATGTGGTGCTGAAGAAATGATCCACACGGAAACAACTCAAACATGGCCAAGTAACAGTCACATTTACTGTAATGTTTACAGTGTCATAAGATTTCATTCAGTTCTTTCAGTTTTGTAAATCTGTTCACCATAAAGTGTAATAAACCCCATCCCATACATTTCAGTTGAGTTTGCCATCTAATAAATAAATTCTGCTTGGTACATTTAGTGCATAAATTCATCCTCTGTAATACCTGACAGTGTAAACTCTACCTTATAGACTCTCGTACTATAGTGTGCTGTAAAGTTTACAGTGTAATAAAACCTTTTGCCTCTTATATAGATCCAAAACAAAAATATTCTCTACCAAAAATAGTCAAATAATGTGGGTTTATAATAATTCCATTTGATTGGATATCTTCTTTTGTGAGTTCAATAGCGTGTTCGTGTTCCGAATACTTCGTAAATATCAATGATCTCTAACTGTGGCGACAGACATTCCTATAACAACCAGCAGTACAGTGCCTAAAATCTTAATAGTCATGATATAACAAATATCACAATAATATCATAGTCTTTGCTTTTTAGCGAATAACAGTGAGCGCTCGTTACATACATCTGAATGTTAAACTGCAGCGAGGGAGTGTAAAAAAAACCGTGAAGCTGGACCTTTCCTAAAAACATCATACAGGCTCCGATCACTGAGGACACGCCCCCTACATTGACCAATCAGAGTGAAGGAAGTGGGGTTTGTATTACATTTCGCAGCTATTGCACAAGAAGCTCACTTCTTGTTGATATTGTGTATGTGTACGTGTTTTTGGTATTATTCATCCTCCGCGTATATGAGGCGCACATTTTGAGTTCCATTGATTTCCAGCTCCTCCGGAGTCTTTGTTTCTCGTTCTTGTTGTCCTGCAGGGCGTTCTGCACCCTGTAGAAGGCGATACTGAGCATCTGGCCCTCTCGGTGCCCGCTGGTGGGGAAGCAGGGGTCTCTCAGGAGGCGGCGGAGCCCAGCAGGGTGGCGAGGAGCGGGCAGAGCAGAAGTGCCAGGCTCAGCGTGAGTGCACTGGCACCGTTGCACTTTTTGCCTCCTTCGCAGCGCGACTGTTGGCACAAAACACCCTTAAAGTTCGGCGGACAGCTACAGCGCTGATTCTGAACACACGTCCCCCCGTTCTGGCACAAGAGTAACTCATCGTCGCACACGTTCGCTGTGGAGAACATGAGGAAAAAGTTATGTTATGTTCAAGCAAATACACCGTTTTTCTCTAAGACTAGTTTGGAATAATTCAGATTTTTTAAAATTCTCTGCATTTATTTGATCAAAAATACAGTAATATTGTAAAATATAATTACAATTTAAAATAACTATTTTCTATTTTAAAGGGGTCATATGACGTTAAAAAAGAACATTATTTTGTGTATTTGGTGTAATGAAATGTGTTTATGCGGTTTAAGGTTCAAAAAACACATTATTTTCCACATACTGTACATTATTGTTGCTCCTCTATGCCCCGACTTTCTGAAACATGTCGATTTTTACAAAACTCGTTGGTCTGAAAAGCGAGGTGTGCGCTGATTGGCCAGCTATCCAGTGCGTTGTGATTGGCCGAATACTTCAAGCGTGTGACGCAAATGTTACGTCCCTTACCCATACTGTGATGCCGTGTCCTGGAGCGACGAGACAAAAACATTAAAACCCATTATAAACGAGGCATTTGTTGCATCCAGTGGGGACATAATTACTGATTATAATGACTTATACTGTCTTTTTACACGTTGCGTTGCAGCACGCCGCGCAAACATAAAACCATGTCTGCATTTATGATCGGAGAAATTACAAACAACAAGCGCTACTCTACACTGCTCAAAACTCGCGTTTGAATTGTCAGTGGCAAATTCTTTAAATATGAAACGTACTTACAGGCTGTGAGTCAGCATTATTTGTCAGCATCATAGACCGTATAGGGTCAGCATGCGCGCCGAAGGGGAAACGGGAACTGAATTAACCGGAACACCGGCATTGTAGGCTGCTCTCCCAGGAAACAGTCCTCGTCCTCCGTAAAATGTGTTGCACACATCTGAATATTTGGGTTGAACTGTTCTGGAACAGTGTTCTTACAACTTAAACACTGATTTCTAGACGTGTCCTCTTTTGGAAGGCTAAACAAAGTAGTTTCACTTTCACAACTAAACACAGCGTCTCCATGACATGGAAACAATACTACAGCGAGAATCAAAGTTACGCCTTCTTTCTTTGCGTGAACATTTGGGAGTGGCGTTATGCAAATCTTCCCACATCGTGACGTAGACATGTGGGGGCGTGTTTAAACGAGGTGTTTTAGGGGGGCGTGGACCAGTCTTAACTTTTATAAAGAATATCTCTTTGGTTTTGAGACTTTAGTCTTTGCAACTTCAGGGATCTTATCTATTCACAAATAGCTTGTAACACTCCAAAGAGAAAGGAAAACTTGAAATCGCATCATATGACCTCTGTAATTTATTTTAAAATGTAATTTATTATTTTTAGTCTTCAGCGTCGCATGACCCTTCAGAAATCATTTGAATATGCTGATTTGCTGCTCAGCAAACATTTCTGATTATTAGCAATGCTGAAACAATTGTGCTGCTTGCGGTTGAAGGAATATGCTACAGCGCTCATTCTAAAGAGGTGGACGGAGCATGAACATCTAAAATGCATGTGTAGATTCAGTCGAGTGATAAAGTTTAGGCTACCCTCTTCAACTTAATGCTGTTGAACAGAATTTACAGAGCAAACTATGTGCTAAAATAACCATAACATCATCAGCAATGCTGAAATACAAGCACGCATTTCTGTCAGTCAGATGCATGTGAAAGTTGCATGTGTTACTATAACAAACAGAATTATCATTGGCTGATAGAAAGACAAAAATTGTTTACATAGAAGTTTTTACCTAAAAATGAATATAATGTAAAGGTGTGAATAATTACATTTTAGACACATTGTCAGTAATTTAGCCAGCGAAAATAAATCCCTAGGAGAACTGTTGTGCGTCTCAGATTAACACACAGCACAGCAGAAGGTTTCATTAATGAATCCACGTTTTTAAATGAATCAGTGATTCAGTGAGCCATTCATAAAGGCAGTCACTTGCTTCGTTTCTGAATGAATCAGCTGTTTGAACGAATCGATGAATGACTGAAAGACTCCCTTATCAAGATAGGGATTTGCCACCACCTACTGGCGCTTTTAATTTTTTATTTAGAGTATTGTTTCTTATTTCACTTTTTGTATTTTGAATTTAAATATTTCTTTCTAAAGCTACTTTTTTGTAATGTCTATTCAGTGTTTTTATAAATTAACACAATGATAACTATTATCTTTAATAATAACTTTATCTTTAATTAATCGGCACATGATGTGCATGTTAATTAATCTTGTTAATCTGAGATTAATTTGATTAATTAATCGGCACATTATAAATTAATATAATTAATTAATATAATATAATAAACTTGACAGCCCTATACATAAAACATAAAAAACCCTGGATACAATACCTTTTTATTCAGCAAGAACGATTGATCAGAAGTCACAATAAAGACATTCATAATGTTAGAAAAGATTTCTATTTCAAATAAATGCTGTTCTTTTGAACTTTCTATTCATTAAAGAATGCTGAAATAAAATGAAATATAGTTTCCACAAAATATGAAGCAGCACAACTGTTTTTAACTGATAATAATCAGAAGTGTTTCTTGAGCAACAAATCAGCATATTTGAATGATTTCTGAAGGATCATGTGACACTGAAGACTGGAGTAATGATGCTGAAAATACAGCTTTGATCACAGCAATAAATTACATTTTAAAATATATTTAAATAGAAAACAGCTTTTTTTTAAGCTGTAAAAATACTTAACAATTTGATATTTTTACATTTATGACCAAAAGAGACTTCTTTCAAAAACCTTTCAAAATCTAAATTATTCCAAACTTTTGGCCGGTAGTGTAGTGCAGCGCCTCTCTATCACACACACAGCCACGCTCATTTGCTTAGTGGCTTGTATCTGTGTCATATTTAACATGGGCTTATGGCGTCATTAAAAAGCCACAATGGGTCGCAGAAGTCTGGGTACTAATGAGACCAGGTGCTGCACACCTGACCCCAAACTGTCTCAGCAATGAACAATTGAGTGTGTGTGTGAGAAAAAGGACAGAAAATGATAAAGAGGATGATGACTATGGCTATGTTCAGAATAGCATACTACTCCATGCACTATGCATATCATACCTGGATAACCTACTACTACATTACACTGCACTGAGCACTGAATCCCACAGTGCAACATGTCTGACTTGACCTTCAATTTCCAGAGTGAAGAATTAATTGTAAGTAATATTTGTCACAGTGTTAATTTTTTTATGGTATAAGATTTCAGTGGATTTCTCAGTAAAAAAACTACATTACCCATGATTCTGCAGGTAAATCTCCACCAATCAGTGAATTGCAACAAGCAAATTGTGAAAAAATAACACTCAGTGCCCATCTACTCCCATGAAAAGACTTTAAAAATAGTAGGCAGTGTATTGTGTATAATATAGATAATTAAGCTTTAAGTGTGCCGTTCTGAACATAACCCAGGAAAAGACTGTGTATGTGAAGGGCTAAAATTTTTGCAAAACTGAAAAGGTCATGAGATTGTAATACAAAAAGTTCTGAAAGACTTGCCTAAACTATGTAAAAACTTATTCCATTAACCAAACGGTTCATCCTCTGCATTTACCAGAGCCAGTAAATACTCGCTGCATGCAGATCGACTTAACCCAAGAACAAATCAAATCTATTTGAAGAAAGTGACTAATCCAGCTCCGGAAGTGTGTCCCTGATGGATTCTCCTCTGTTTTCCCTTCTCACAGTGCTAGCGGTTCTGGCCATGGGCCTGTTTCATCTTAAAGATGGATCACAGGGAAAACGCTGTGCGCAGGGCTTCTAGAATCACCATGGGAATCCAGGTACAAATGTGATCATTACCCCACAAACCAGTTTCCAATGAACAAGGGCTGCTTAGAATCTGCATGGCAGCACATCATTTTAATACACAAATAGCCAAACCCATTAGACGCCAGTAATATGCTGTTTTGATGTAAATATCTAATGCGTCGTGAGAAGGGGTCAGACTCTTGTCAAATCAAATTAATCTCGCCCTCTTCATTATGAGACCACACCCCTTTTTTGTGCTTACACAACTTGGAACAAATTCCAACGTTTGAATCAGAAACCGTGCCAAAAAATTTTTTTAAACAAAAAGTAAAATGGTCACTAGTAGCCCAGTGTCAAAATGTGACATTGCTGGTAGATGGTGTGACTACACATCTTAAGCAATCACAAATTTTAATACACAAATAGCCAAACCCATTAGACACCAGTAATATGCTGTTTTGATGTAAATATCTAATGCGTCGTGAGAAGGGGTCAGACTCTTGTCAAATCAAATGAATCCCGCCCTCTTCATTATGAGACCACACCCCTTTTTTGTGCTTACACAACTTGGAACAAATTCCAACGTTTGAATCAGAAACCGTGCCAAAAAAAAGTTTTAAACAAAAAGTAAAATGGTCACTAGTAGCCCAGTGTAAAAATGTGACATTGCTGGTAGATGGTGTGACTACACATCTTAAGCAATCACAATAATCCACAACACGACTCCAATCCATCAGTTAACGTCTTGTGAAGTGAAATAATCCATAATAAGGCTTACTCCAGTGAGAAAATTCATCCCGTTGTCCTCTCAGAACAAAATATATTAGTTTGGACTGTTTTGGCTTATAAATGGAGCTTGATCTGTGCATATTTCTCTTCCGATTCAGACAAGATGACTTTTTCACTGGAGAAAGCAATATTATGGATTAAAGACTTAATCAATGGTTAATTAAATGCAACGGTTTGCAGTTAAAAACATCTTGATGGATTTGTTTCTTACAAACACGCAGCTTTTGGCTTCACAAGACTTGAACTGATGGCCTGGAGTGGTGTGGATTACTTGTGGATTATTGTGATGTTTTTATCAGCTGTTTGGACTCTCATTCTGACGGCACCCATTCACTGCAGAGCATCCATTGCTGAGCAAGTGATGCAATGCTATATTTCTCTAAATTCCCATGAAGAAACAAACTTATCTGTATCTTGTATGGCCTGAAGGTGAGCAAATTTTCATTTTTGGGTGAACTATTCATTTAAAGCTTCTTTCTCCTTTCTCTGTCATTCAAAAGTAGAATTAACGCCGCTTTAATTCCACTGTGTAAAAACTTATGACTGCAAGCTAGAACTAGTAATTATATTATTTACTCTGTGACTTTTATTTCAAACGGCAACAAAACAAAAGCCTTGTAAAGGACTGAGCCAATTAATATCTGATTTAAACTTGAAATTGGCTGAGGAGAATGGAGAGGCAATTGCACACTTTGACATTGATTTGTTAATTAGATTGTAGAGTTGAATGAAGTCTGATTAGGAAGTGGTTAATGAATCAGGGAGGTACTTACGGAAACAGCCCTGTTTCCAATAGTAACCGGGGAGACAGTCGTCACATTTGACTCCGGTAGTGCCCTCTTTACACTGACAGAAGCCGGTACTGTTACAGCGGTCGTGCAACGAGCCCATCGTATTACAGTTACACTCTGAGAAGTAAGAGAGAGAATTAGTTAGGGGGGAAAAGGTTGAACTTTTAAGCTTTGTTTGCATTGTGTAGTTGCTTTTTTGTGGTTAGAAAGAATAAGTATGCTATTTGTTTATATTGAGAAGTGGTCAACCAATGTGGATGTTTTAATGGCCGTTGCTGATATCTTAGGCCGCGTCCACACGGAGACACGTTTAGCTGTATACGCATACATTTTGTATCGTATAGGCATTTTGTCCACTCGGATCTGGCGTTTTGGGAGAGTGAAACCGATATTTTTTTAAACCGGGTCCCAGAGTGGATAAATCTACAAACGCCACCCTTGCGTTTTCGTGTGGACAGTGAATCCGTATATTTTCTGAAACGATGACGTCATCAACCCACGTCTCGCCCCTAGTCAGACACCGCTACGTCTATAACGCTCCCAGGATGATAATGTTGCAGTTTAACTTTGCTGACCGTGGTGTCCAGCGCAGTTTTGTTTCATCTTGCATTTTTTTTCTTTTTTTTCTTTTATTCAGTTGTCTGTGTATAACTTTCTACTGATTACGTCCTTGGTATTTTTCTCCAAGTACGTCTAATTTAGAGGGATTTCCTGTCTCCTTAGGTTTTAAAAAAAATTTTTTTTAATGTAGATTCCTGACTGCTGGGACAGGCGCTCTTTAAAGAGTGCATCAATGAACCACACTCAGTGTCGCTCCTTTTTGAGAATCTGACCCGGTGCCTGCCAAGCGTTACACGGCACTTTCACCTCAACGTGACAGATATGAGGTTCTAGAAAGTGGAGGTGTACATAGTAAGATGTATTTTTTTAAATAAAGTACTACTTTTGTTGAGCAATGATGCATGTAATTGATCAAAATTGACAGTAAAGACACTCAGAAAATTACAAAAGATTTCTATTTCAAATAAATTCAGTACTTTTTAACTTTTTAAAAACAATTAACCATTTAAACCTAGTTAAGATTGTATAACTGAATCTAATGGTCCTGATGTTGCAATTGCGGTATGTGTCAGTTTGAGTTCAATTAAAGGCACAACCATTATCTAATGGTATTTAATATACAAGTAAAATGTGTAAATGCATATTAACCAGACCATTTAAATCAGCTTTACGAATTCTTAGCTGTTTCAGAATTGTTTATCAGTTTAGACGTGCCTTTTAAATATTTATGTGCACTTTAAAAGCTAGAGAGCGAGAATTCAGTACAGAGCCTGTCTCAGCACATAGGAACAGGCAAATCAATGAAATATAAATGAGAGTTACACACACACAAGCTGATCACAACACACTTACCTTATATATCACACATTTATATTGAGAAGCAGGGATGTAGGGATTAATGAGAGTTTGAACGCTGGAGACAGGGAGTGACATGCTGACAAACATCAAACTCAGCGAGTCTTTAGTTTTTGAACGCTCAACCTCTCGTGGTCTAGAACTTTCTAAAGTACTAGCCATTAATTCACATCTCCACTGAAACGTGTTCTAGAACTCTTCACAGTTACCTGTACCTCTATTGAACTAAAGCCCAATTATAGACCTTAGTAAGTTCGATGGCATATTGAAGACAAGGCTGTGAGTGCATGTGCTGTATGAAGGCCCTAGATCACAAATCATTTTCACAACTTTCAACGCTTTTTTGTGTGGAATTTTTGTCTACTGAAAGTCTCTTGGAAAGATGTTTGGTCAGTTGACAATCGGTATGTTCTTAAACAACAGTACAATTGATTGAACACACTGTACTTCTATCCCTGACAGCCTTGTTTTCATTCCTGTCAAAAATTAAATATGTCTGCGCCGATAGCCTTGTGGGCAGCGTGCCGAAATTTATTTATTTATTTAATGTTTTATTTGCTAGGGACAGATACAATAAACATAGATGAAAATGTAAAAACAGTCATCCCATGCATGTAACCATAGTGCTTGTAGCCGAAGCTAATTTGCAACACTTGTCCCTAGGAGGGCTTTTATAAATTACAATTACAATAAACAAGTAGTACACAAATTTATAATATAAATACACTACACATGACTACAGGTTTGTCGATGTATCAACCAAGATTTCGTGGCTTTCCTAAAATAATTATAATTTACAGTAGATTTTAAATAGTCAGGCAATGAATTCCAAAATTTTACACCTTTCACTGAGAGAACAGTCTGAGCAAATGATGTTTTACAATGTATAACTTTACAGTTTCCACTAGAAGCCGCTCTAGTGGATCTACTGCTTCCCTGCAATCTGTCGAAAAATGTACATAAGGGCATAGGAGCAAGACCATTTAAACATTTAAACAAACTTTACATAATGAAAAAAGACAAAGTGAGCAAAGCTCAAAATCTTGTATTTTCTTAGGATCTGACAATGATGGTATCTTATTTGCTTTCTATCTAAAATTTTCAAAGCTCTATTGTAAAGACATTTAACCTGATTAATTATGGATTGATTTGTCTGAGACCAAATAGCTAATCCATATGCCATGTGTGATAATATCATCGAATTTAAAAACAAAAAAGCATGATCATATGTTAAACAATTTCGTATTATTCTAAAGCTGGTAAGATTTGCTTTAATCGTTTTACGCAACTTTTTAACATGACTTTTAAAATTTTAAAATACAGTACTGTTACGCTATGGGCGTCCCGTGTTCAAATCATAACTCGTGGAACTTTCCCGATCCTGCCCCTCTCTCTCTCCCACTTCACTTCCTGTCAGTTCTGATCTGTCCTGTCACAATAAAGGCAAAAAAAAAATCTAAAATGTGATGGTACCCTCACTAAGGTCTATTGAAAAATTCTGTATTGTGTTCTATAACTCTCATTGATTCATTAAAAAAAATGCGGCAGCATGAAATTTCTACAGTACATCAATGAAAGTGTCTGCTAAATGAAAATTTAATTAATTCAGAAACACTGTAACGTTCTGAGTAGAACTATTTAGTTACTTAGTCCTTCTAAACAACTCACGGTTCCACACAACACATTAACTACAGTTCTAGAGACTAAAGCATGTTAGTGTTTAAATTGTATGAACTACGGTGAGCTCTAGAACCCATTTGAGTCGAAGGTTCTAGAATCTAGAATGTTAAGGTTTTCTATCTAGAACATTCCCCCATTCTTTTAAATACTGTGACATTGTACTTTGAAATCTCTTTCTACCTTTTCTTAGCTCATTTTAATTTCTTTCTCACCTTTGAAGTCGTCATATATGATGCCTTTTAGCTGTACGGTCTGTTGCCCTCCAGATAGTAAGAACTTCAGAAGAGCTTCAGAGAATGAAAAGTCTTATTTTTTTTACAATATGTTCATCTAGAAACCTACTACCAAGCAAAGCAAATCGAGTCTACGACAAGCAAATCTCCAGCTATCCATCCACATGCTTAAGGGAGGTGAATAGAATCATTGTTTGAGACATTTAACAGGGACAAAAAAAATCACTACCAACCATATAGACTATAATATATATACAGTCTAAAGTGGCAGGCTACAGAAGCTAATGCAGCTCCTTGCTAATATGGATTCTAATGACTACTATGCATATGCAGTGATAGACTTAACCAGCCACACAATGTGCTCTAAGTTGACCTCACACCGTGGATACCTTTTTTATTCTCTTCATCTTCTCTCTCCCACTTATGAATGGGTTTTACTTCACCCTCTCCTTTACCATGCTCTTCTGAGTGTTTGTGTGGATCTAGACGAGCAAAGAGAAGAACTGAGCAATCCACAGGTTTATACTACATTCTGTACTACAGGCCGTTTGAAACTACCAGCTGAGCCATACCTTCAACAGCTGTGTGTTTATGAGACCCTTCCTCCTCTTCTTCTGACTCCTTTGGTTTCTGTAGTACTGACTTTATATCCTCATGTTTTGGTCCTAAGATGTGATGCTTTGGTACTGATTCATGTGACATGTGTACTGATGAAACTGTCTCTACTTTTGGCAGTACAGATCCATGCATTGTCTCTGACTCTGGTACTGGTTTATGAGATTCCCTTTTTGGCTGTGTTGGTATGTGTCCATGAGATTCTAATATTGATTCATGGGGTTTCACTATTGGCTGATGAGGTTTATGCATTGCCTCATGATGATGTACTATTGGCTCATGAGCTTTCACTACTGGCTCATGAGGGTTATGCATTGCCTCATGATGATGTACTATTGGCTGATGAGGTTTATGCATTGCCTCATGATGATGTACTATTGGCTCATGAGGTTTATGCATTGCCTCATGATGATGTACTATTGGTTCATGAGGTTTATGCATTGGCTCATGAGATTTCACTACTGGCTCATGAGGTTTATGCATTGCCTCATGATGTACTGTTGGCTCGTGAGGTTTATGCATTGTCTCATGGTGATGTACTATTGGCTCATGAGGCATTGGCTCATGAGGTTTCACTATTGGCTCATGAGGTTTATGCATTGGCTCATGATGATCTACTATTGGCTCATGAGGTTTATGCATAGGCTCATGATGATGTACTATTGACTCGTGAGGTTTATGCATTGGCTCATGGTGTTTCACCATTGGCTCATGAGGTTTCACTATTGACTCATGAGGTTTATGCATTGGCTCATGATGATGAACTATTGGCTCATGAGGTTTCTCTGGCTCATGAGGTTTATGCATTGGCTCATGATGATGAACTATTGGCTCATGAGGTTTCTCTGGCTCATGAGGTTTATGCATTGGCTCATGATGATGAACTATTGGCTCATGAGGGCTCATGAGCTTCATGCATTGGCTCACGAGGTTTCACAATTGACTCATGAGGTTTATGCATTGTCTCATGAGGATTCACTATCAGCTTGTGAGGATTCACTATTGGATCATGAGTTTTCACTATTGGATCATGAGGTTTATGCATTAACTCATGATGATGTACTATTGGTTCATGAGGTTTCTCTGGCTCATGAGCTTCATGCATTGGCTCACGAGGTTTCACAATTGACTCATGAGGTTTATGCATTGTCTCATGAGGATTCACTATCAGCTTGTGAGGATTCACTATTGGATCATGAGTTTTCACTATTGGATCATGAGGTTTATGCATTGTCTCATGATGATGTACTACTGGCCCATGAGGATTCACTATCGGCTTGTGAGGATTCACTATAGGATCATGAGGTTTATGCATTGCCTCATGATGATGTACTATTGGCTCATGAGGTGTATGCATTGCCTCATGAGGATTCACTATTGGCTCATGAGGTTTATGGACTGGCTCATGTGAATTCACTATTGGCTCATGCATTTTAAGCATTGGCTCATGAGGATTCGCCATCGTCTTGTGGGGATTCTCTATTGGATCATGAGGACTCACTATTGGATCATCAGGTTTATGCACTGCCTCATAATGGTGTACTGCTGGCTCATGAGTTTTATGCACTAGCTCATGAGGTTTAACTATTGGTTCTTGAGGATTCACTATTGGCTCATGAGTTTTATGCACTGGCTCATGAAGTTTCAGTATTGTCTCATGTGGATTCATTGTTGGCTCATGAGGTTTATGCATTGGCTCATGAGGATTCACTATTGGCTCATGTCGATTTACTTTTGGCTCATGAGGATTATGCATAGGCTCATGAGGTTTCATTATTGGGTCATGAGGTTTTACTATTGGTTCATGAGATTCTGGTACTGGCTTGTGAAGTTTTACTATTGGATCATGAGATTTCTGTATTGGTTCATGATATTCTGTTATTGAGTTATGAACATGATATTTATGCATTGGCTCATGAAATTCCGTTATTGGCTTGACAGGCTCTGGAATTGGCACCGCAGATTCTGGCATTGGCCCAACAGACTCTTCTTCATGCTTCCCAGAAATCCTCTCTTTCCTCCCAGAAATCTCCTCACCCTTCCCAGAATCCTCTACTGGGGGTGGTATAGGGAATGCTTGGGTGCAATCATTCAGATAATCACAAAATTAGTATGTACACACAAACACATACACCGTGTTGTGCTTTACAAACAGCTATTGAACACCAAGCAGACTAGCCAGAAATAACAACCTGTTTACATTCATCATAGGACTTTCACACTATACTCAATCACAATGATCTTAATCTATAGCAACCATAGACCACAAAACTCCTCTGTGGTCTCTACTACACTTTTCATTATTAACTACAGGTTAGGAAAAGGTCACCAAAACCACATCTACCACAATAATAGAATTCTACCAGAACTCTTGATGGCCTAACAATACCTTTGACGGGCTGTTTCTTAATTTCTCTGTGGTGTGTCCTCTCTTTTTCAACAGGAAACATGTTTTTTCCTGGGTGCTTGGGTTGGTGATTATGTCTGTCAGGAACTGTAGTTTATCAAAAAGAAGGAAATGTCACTTAGGCATTATAGGGCTTTAAAAATCTTGCTATGTCAGAATGACATAACACCAAAAAGAACCAACAAAAAGTCACATCTGAATGAAATAATCTAAATGACATATTAACTTTTTCTTTTGTGTGTTAATTTCCCTTGTCTACTTTTTGGACAGTTATCTTTACTACTTTTTTGTATAAAATTTTGCTTTGTGCAGCACTTTCAATCACCAGTCAGACCAGGTTTAGAAAATAAGAAATTTTCGGGAAATAATAAATTTTAATTTATTTTATTTAATTTTTATATAAAATATAAAAATATAATATATATATTTTTTTTTATGTTTTATATAAAATATTTTATATATATATATATATATATATATATATATATATATATTAAATGTATGTAATATTTTTTGTAATTTTTAGTTTTATTCATCTCATGAATATTAAGCTTAACTTTCAGTCACATAATCATTTACCCATTTGTTTTCTTTGCATTTCATGGAATCAGCTGTGTAATGGAAACATCTAAAGAGCAGTTATTGGTTTCATTTATGTCTGTGCTTTATTGATGTGATTCTTAATTTGAATCTAGTTTCAAACTAAAGTGAATGCCCTTCTGAGTGATCTTCTATTTGGTTGCAAGGGTGTATGTAGTACCTAAACACATTAAAAGTGGCATATGACGTTAAACAGACAAACCAAACAGCAATTAATCTAAAATGACAGATTGGTGTTGTTTGAGGTACACAGACACTGCTTGCGTGTAAACAACGACCATGCTGTAATTTCATCAACACACGTATGTCGTATCCTGCTGGGAATCTCAAAGATCTCCACCTTTATTAAATCCATCCGAGGAGCTGCTCTGTCTCGCGTCTCAGCTGAGCGCTTTATTCCCCCCTCCGTTTTTTCATGCCAGCTTGACGTTTTCTGATCTGAGCTCAAGCTGGAGTTCTCGTTCACTCGTTAAACATCATGCAGTATTCATTCCTCGGGTGCGTATGTGCGCTTCGATCAATGCACGTGTGTGTGGTGGTTCTTTATATATTCGCAGGCCGCCCTAATCCGCTTTGCGCTGAAAGATGCAAAGTCACTCTATATTTTGACAGGGGAAAACACTGTCTAATTGAGCATTGATTTCCCACTGCGCACACTGCTTTGGAGCCGTTACCCACAATCCTCTAGGGGTACGTTTGAGTAGATGACTTACTGGCAGCAGAGTCGCTGAGCTCTTGGCTTGGCTACAGTGCTTTGACTGCCAAAACAAGTGTTTGAAAGATGCTTCTATAGCATACTAACAACACTAGCACATACAAACTAGTGCCCGTAACTTACCTCTGCTTTCTATATGTGCGTGAACAGGCCCCTCCTCCAGGGGTGTGGCTTTGTGGGGCGTGTCCTCACTGAGAATATGAGAAGGGGGTGTGGTAGGGGGCGGGGCTTCCACAGTGGTATAAAGTGCCTTAGGCTCGATTTCAGCTGGTGGGAAGTGGTGTTCAGGAGGGGCATCTAATGGGATTTGCGGGGTGAGTGTAATAGAAACGGGTTAGAGAAACCAGAGTCAGCATGGAATACACGCGCACACACACAAAGTGCTGAGCTTTACAAAACCGCTTGCATTTGAAATATTCTAGTTTGCACATGGGGGGGGGGGGGGGGGGCGCTAGTGTCAACTGGAATCCCATTCTGCAGTGCAGAGGCGGTTATGAATTCAATTCATGTTCAATCTGTGTATTAAAATATTCAGAACGGGGTACTAGCATACTGCTTAACATGCAGGGATGTGCAAAATTCAGAATAATCGGCTCCCTTTCAATTCATGAGTGACTATCTATCTATCTATCTATCTATCTGCCTTCAAGCTTAGACTTTTAGAATCGTTTAATCTATCTATCGTTCTATCTATCTATCTATCTGCCCTCAAGCTTAGACTTTTAGAATCTTTTAATCTATCTATCGTTCTATCTATCTATCTATCTGCCTTCAAGCTTCGACTTTTAGAATCTTTTAATCTATCTATCGTTCTATCTATCTAGCTATCTAGCTATCTGCCTTCAAGCTTAGAATTTTAGAATCTTTTAATCTATCTATCGTTCTATCTATCTATCTTCAAGCTTAGACTTTTAGAATCTATCAATCTATCTATCTATCTATCTGCCTTCAAGCTTAGACTTTTAGAATCTTTTAATCTGTCTATCTATCTATCTATCTATCTATCTATCTGCCTTCAAGCTTAGACTTTTAGAATCTTTTAATCTATCTATCTATCTATCTATCTATCTATCTATCTATCTATCTATCTATCTATCTATCTATCTATCTATCTATCTATCTATCTGCCTTCAAGCTTAGATGTTTATAATCTTTTAATCTGTCTATCTATCTATCTATCTATCTATCTATCTATCTATCTATCTATCTATCTATCTATCTATCTATCTGCCTTCAAGCTTAGATGTTTAGAATCTTTTAATCTGTCTATCTATCTACTGTAACTACCTTTAAACTTAAAGTTTTTTAGAACCTTTTAAACTAAAAACATTCAGTTTGTTTTGATAAACTTTAAAGTCAACTTTGAAATTTCAAATCTGAATTGCAGTTCATCCTGTTTGATACATTAAATTCAAAAACTAAATTGGAATTTAATTTTCAACTCAATTTTGAATGACGCACAACCCTGATATTGCCCACTATTTTTTGAAAATGTGATGCAGTTTGTAGTAACAACACATTTCTAAAATACTACTTTTGTTATTGCGTTAAATCAGTGCATGCAGTTTTATTATCATAAATACAGTGTTATATATGTTATATATATATATAAGTGTTAATGTTATATTTGTACTATTTTATTTCAGATAAAAATGTCTTCACGTTTGCCAGTTCAGTGCAACAAGTCAAGAATGAGAAAAACATGTGGCTGATGTTGCTTAAGCATATTACAGAAAGGATGCCAGTCATTTCAGTCATCTCCAGTGCGTCATCAGTTTATCTAACCGGAGCACATTTGTAATATCTGAGGTCTTAAGTGAGATGCTGTTAGATTATGAAGCTGCGGTTTAATGCAGATTGTCAGTATGCATGTGTTTGTGCATGTGTGTTTGCGTGTGTGCGCTCATGTAGATGCAGATGGCGCTCTGTTGGATTAAGGCACATTACATCATCATTAAGCTCTGCTAGTGCACTAAGGCAGTAACTTGCATAGTACCTCATATCGCCTAGTATATTATTCTACACGTTATATTCTAGGTTACTACTTATCGCTACAACTACGGGAGCCTTTGAGGATCACACTGTCCCACCTGTGTTCAAAGCTGGCGCTTCTGTTAAAGCTGTAGTGAATTCTTCAGCTGAAGTGTCAGTCACTGTTGGCATTAAAGACGAACAATAAGCATCTGAAAACAACACCTGCAGCTGAAACTACAGTAACACAAGGTCTAAAGACAGAGTCTAATTTTATGCTGCAGTCCATTCAAAGTCAAATGCGGATTATTCTTCCTATCATATAATGTCCTGTTATTTGTTGTTCATAAGATAACATATAAAGACAAAATCATTATGCATGTGCACGACTGTCAAGAGGAGAGATCATGTACGTTTGTGTGTGTGTTTTGTATATATCATATTAATCATTCACTTAAAATTAATGTTTATCTGAATCATGATAATTTTTCTGAATGAAAGCAAATTTATCATTCACTGACTGTGTTTTGCTGTGATGTCATTTCCTGTAATGTTTGTGTGTACTGGTTTGTTCTACTTCTTGTGGCTATTTGCCCAACTGACCAACCAGCAGCCAGAGGATCAGACTCGCTGCTCTGACCTCGTAATCCCTGTCTGAACACACACACACTGACCGTATAATCCCTGCGTCTGTGTGTGCAGAAGGACATTCATCCAGCACACATTAATAGGAACACACACACACACACTGGCCTACATATCAGCTCCCTCTCTCGTACGTTTGAGCGTGTGTGTTTGTGTAAGTGTGGTGTGTGCATGTTATGTGCTTGTGTGTGTGTTGTTCCCCCTGTGTGGGAGACCCTTGGACCCTTAGACTACAGGGGAGAGAAAACATGGACATGATCTATGAGTTTGATTTCTCTGGGCCATATGCTACACACACACACACACACACAACCCAAAAAGAGCCATGTGTTGATGCCTCAAAGGAATAGTTCACCGAAAAATGAAAATTTGCTGTAAATGTATTCACTCTAAGGCCATCCGAAATCAGTTTGTTTTTTTCAAGGGAACAGATTTGGAGAAATGTAGCATTCCATCACTTGCTCAAAAAATAGATGCTCTGCAGTGAATGGGTGCCGTCAGAATGAGAGTCCAAACAGCTGACAAAAACATCACAGTAATCCACACCACTCCAATCCATCAGTTAACATCTGGAGAAGCTAAAAGCTGCATGTTTGTAAGAAAGAAATCCATCAAGACTTCTTTTTTGAACTGTTTTGGCTAGTAAACAGTGCTTGATCAGTGCAGATTTCTCTCCTGATTCAGAGCAGACAACTTCTCACTGGAGAGAGATTATGGATAGAGTACTCCGTTTAAAAACAACTTAATAGTGGATGTTAACTGCTGGATTGGAGTGGTGTGAATTACTTGTGGCTTACTGGGATGTTTTTATCAGCTGGTTGGACTCTCATGCTGACGGCACCCATTCATTGCAGATGAGCCATTGGTGAGCAAGTGATAGAATGCTACATTTCTCCAAATCTGTTCTGATGAAGAAATCTTGGATGGCCTGAGGGTGAGTAAATTTTTCAACAAATTTAAATTTTTGGGTGAACTATTCCTTTAACACACACACACTCTGTCTGCTATGCTGCCTTTTAATTTAATTCTAATGTGGCTCTGAGGACATAATTTCCTGTTGACTCCCGTACTGAATCATGCTAATTTTCCTGAATGCATCGGATGCATCAGCATCATGTCGCTGGAAGGCCGTTTAAAGCTTTACGACATTACACAAACGCTCTTAAAGTCCTGACATCGCAGCGTCCCGGGCTTCACTTCCACTAAGTGCTTTTCCTCAGGAACACAGACAGTTTTAAAATTAGACTATGACTACGGCGACAGGACGGACAGGGATCTACTCAGCATTTCTTGAAACATGCTTCGCCACAACGCATAAAGTCAAACGAGTTTGAGAAAACTTTCTGGCAGAGTTAAACCGCATGTGTTTTGCAAACCGTTCTGCAGTTATAAGTGCTTTGAGATCCTTCAGGTCTGTGTTTGAAATACGTTCACATGCATACAAACACGTCCTCGATCTGCACCCACTCAACAAGCGTCAAATGCAACTGTAGTGAGTAATTGGCCAGTTAAATCGCTGTAAATTCACTAAATTCACTAAAAAGTGAATTTTGGATCCTCAGCTCCAGTGTCCTGCTGTATATGTGATGATAACGGCAAAAATGAGCATCTAATCTAAAAGACAGCTGAAACTACAAGTAGCAAAATTACACTTTACCGTCGTCTTGTAGGTACCCATTAGAAAGCTTTACCATGGTAAACATAGTCCTTCTGAGGAAGTTTTTTAATATAATATTTTTATTTCAATTAACAAAAAAGATTTTTAATGGTTCTAGTCAACAATAACAACACCAAGTTTTTATTGTTTTAGTTTTATTGTTGTAACAATAACTCCCGTAACTAGTTTTTTTTGGGGGGTGAATTTCAGTAGGGCTGTGTCTTGCGATCGACCCACCAGCTGTACTGTTGTTTTCTGGGAAATCCCTTAGATGTGGGCTGATATTGTGTGTGTTTAGTGCATGTGATGCTGTAGGCGTGTCTTCAGAGTGAATCTCTTAATATTTCTTATTCTGTTTGAACCCTCAAGGAATCACGTCATCTTTCCTGCTTCTCTCTGTTCCTTCCTCTGTATCTCTTTATCTTTCTTCCTCCTCCTCTCTGATGTTAGGCTGAATTGCGGCTAGTTTCAGCGGTTTGCCGATGATGAAAGCCACAGGACGGGTGGCCCATGAAAAATGAAGAAGACATAACGAGGGATGGAGCACAGAGACAATGAAGAAAGAGAGAGCGAGGGATGACTGACATATCAGAGAGAGAGGATGAAAGAGGGTTCGGTACTTACTGGAACCAGAAGAAGAACCAGCTAACGCCTGAGAACCTGAGAGAGAGAGAGAAAGTGTGTGTCAGGGGCTTTGTTCCAAAACCTAGTGAGTGCTTTCTACATAGACAGCTGCCTTCTAAGGGAGCATCCTAACTGAAATGGAACATCAAGTGTATGGAGTATATATACATAGGAGGATATATGAAATAAATATGAAATATATGCATATATGAAATATTTTAAATATTATATACTAAATAGTTAGATCATAAACATAATCAGAGAGCAATTTTAATCTTTTTTTTTTTTTTCACTGTGCTCGTTGTAATGCATTCTTGTATTCTGGCCGATGTTGCCAAAAATGTGGCAAAATGAAGGCAGCATAATTAAGAAATAGTGCCGTCCACATGAAATGCATTCATTTATAATAAACACTGTGACATTCATGTCAGATTTAATGTAATGCTGAGTCTAAGCATATATTATATTATTATATATTAAATATATGCATATATTTAGAGAATTATAAAATAATCTAACTAGTTTTAAAATGGCCTTTTTTGCCAAATAAATCATAATCAAGAAATAGTAAAACTAATTTATTTACAATAAACACTGCAATATTCCATGCAAATAAGAATTATCAGTTTTGATGTTGGCTTTAATAAGCATATATTCAATAAAAATGTGCATATATTTGAAACATATTATAAAAAAACACCCAAACAGCATTTGTAATCTGATTTTTCACTGTGCGCGTTGCAATGCATTTTGGTATTCTGACCTTTTTTGCCAAAAGAAGGCAGTCAAATTAAGAAACAGTGAAACACACTGATTTATAATAAACACTGCAATATTCCATGAAAAATAAGGATAGTCAGTTTTAATTTCATGTTGACTTAAATTAGTATATATTAAATAAATATATGCATATATTAAAAAGAAACTAATCTTGCTGAGCTAGTTGAAATGCATCGAGGTATTCTGGTATCTCTGACCAAAGGAAAGCTGTCTAGGTAGGCAGCTCACTAGGTTTTGGAACAGAGCTAGTGTTTCCTGTTCAGACAGTGATTAGTGCAGATTTGGGCCGTTTTCTCCACAGAGGAACCTGTGCGTGTGTGTGTTTGGGAACATTTTGTAGGCTGGAACGCCGGTGTGGCGGTGTGCGTCTGCGTTGCTCTCCTCTCACCTATCTGGGAATTGGGCCGCCACACCAGCAGTCTTGATCTTACTGTGAGCTGACAGGTCTGTGAAGTCTAAAAGGCTCTGCAGCGCTCGGGTGTGTAAGTGAAGCAAGTTGAGATCTGCAGTCTGCTAGATTCACCCATGTGTGTGTGTGTTGTGTGCTGCCCTAGATTATTATTTTATCATGAGTGCTGCTGGTAAAATGGAGGGATGTTGTGTTCCAAAGGATCTCCCTTTAGATACTGTACAGAAGGGAGGAAACATGAAATTTGTGTTCATTTTCATCTGTTTCTCCTTCTATCTCTCTGTCCTCATCTGCCTTTTTTCCCCTTTGTCTTGCTTTTGTTTTATCTCTCATTTCAGTTCACAAGCGAGTCCTTCCTGATCGTTTTGTCCACATTTTCAGGGATAAATCAGATCCTGGTGGATAACCGTCCGTCTGCTCTCTGTCTGTGTGTGTGTGTGTGTGTGTCGGAGTGTAAAGATCTCTGAAGCTCAGAGGAATTCCGGTCGAGGAATTCTGAACCCAGAAAATAATGAGGAGATTTCAGTGCGACGGGCTTAGATGTGAGAGTCCTGTAGTGCGGGATGATTTGAGAGATAATTAATTCTGTTTCATTGTGGAGTAGAATATGATCAGATGGATTGATCTGATTCATGAGGACCTGATATTTGCTCACTGGAGACCTGGTGCGATTGATTTTATAACCATTTTATACCTACAATTAGGGATTTTTCTCTGCTTCTATGTGTGTGTTTAGGTGTTTTTTGTAACATTTGGCATAGGGAAGGAAGATAATGCACGTGTATTTGACTCACATGTGTTGGGGGATCCGTTGGGTGTTGGTAAATATGATCCTGATTTCCAGGTCTTGGCTTTGAATCCTTTTTTGCAGCGCTGGCAGTCCTGTCCGGTCGTGTTGTGTTCACATTGACACTGTAAGTTGCCATCCACATACAAACACTGAGACGCGTGGAGATTGCATTTACACCTGAAGGACAGAAAGACAGGCAGACGTTTAGCAGTACTGTAATACAGACCTGCCAATACAGCCAATCTGAATGATTTCGTGTGTTTTTCATTGTGAATTGAAATTTTGAAGTGAATTTGAACATCAATTTGAATGTTAATATTAACGTCAGTGTTATTTTAGTATAATTTATATAATATTGTAGTATTTATTAATATTTAGAATTAGTGTTTATTTAATTTTTTTCAGTTCAGTTTATTTTTAGATTTTAGTTTAATTTCTAGTAATTTTGTTAAGTGCTTTTGTCACATTTTTCATATTTTAAATGTATTTTTACCTTTATTATTATTATTATTATTATTCCAATTTAGCAATTTTAATACTTCAGCTTTTTAACATTTCAGTTAATTGCCGTTATTAAGATTTTCATTGTAACTAAAACTATTTAAAGTTTGTTATTTTATGTGATTTAAATTTTTTTTTTAAATTATATTTAGCTTTTTTATTTATTTCAAAGTTTTTAATCTAATATTTTTATTTTATTTCAACTTTATTTCAAATACCTAAAAATATTTTAGTTTACATTTTAGTAATTGTATGTGCTATTGTAAGGTATTTAAATTTAATCTATATTTATTTCAAATTTAGTAATTTTTCTACTTTAATTTTAATTTGATTTCATTTCAATTAGTTGGCAAGGCAACATTTTTTTTCACCTAATATTTATACTTTATTTCAATTAACTAAAACCATTTTTAATATTTTAGTTTTAATTAACTATAACACTGATCAATGTTAAAATGAATTTGATTGTGAACATAAATGTCCATTTTTATATTAATGTGCATGTGAATTTGATTCTAATTACTTACTTTCCAAAATGTTTACTTTCGAAGAAAAAGGGCAGAGAAGAAATATTTTAGACAGTTATGACATTTTGTTTTTTAATGATTTAATGTGACAAAGTCATTAGGAAATGAATGAATACAGTATGAAGACCAGTAGAAGCATTTCAAACCTCCTGTATGAGCTGCACTCAAGCAGGGCCGATGTTTTCCGAGATATAAATTACAGGTGTGAGTGTGTTGGCAGGTGGAAATGCATCAAGAGCAATGAACACAGGTGTGCTGCTGTAGATTGGGCCCAGTAAAGCAGAAATGAGCGTTTGTGTAAGACCAAATGGCCCTGATTCTAAATGAGACTCCTCCACCTGAGCAGCACAGTGTGTGTGTGTTTTACTGTCCAGCTTCAATCCAGTTTGTTCCGCTGGAGTGAACATGGATCCATCAGCATCAAATATTCACAACATCATCCTGTACCTTGAGCCAACCCTCATCTATCTCTCTCACACACTCTTTTTTTTCTTGCTTTTTCTTTTCCACAGCCTGTGAACATTTCCCCCCCTCTTTCTCCTTCCCTCCATCTCCTTTAACCTCGTTCTCTGATACCATCGCTCTTCCAAGATGTGGTTTAGTGTGTACTAAAGTGGTCTAGGTTGAGCTGTCTGGCAGTCTGGAGTGTGATGTGGTCTATGATTGATCATTTATACCTTGTGTGTCAATGTGCAATATAAAAATCTCCACTTTAAAAGCTCCAATTTACAGTCTAATGCGATACATTTACAAAGAACAGTTTTATTCTCTAGTTTTAGAAAAACATCTATGATCTATAGAAGTTTATTTCTTCCAACAAATATAAAAAAATTAAAATAAAATGTAATTGCAACTTTTTTCTTGCAATTCAGAATTTATATTGAGATATAAACTCTGACTTTTTTTCTAGTTATAAGTTATAAACTCGTTATATAAATTTGTAATTCTGAGAAAAAAAATCTCCACCAGAGTAAAAAAAAGGTAATAGCGAATTTTGAGTTTATAAGTATCAATTTATTTATGCTTTGTGTTTTTTTTTGTATTTCTGAAAAAAGTCAGAATTGCTCAAGTTAAACTATTGAGGCAGCATTATGGAAGCTTATTTTTTGCAATGGAATAAAAAAATAAAGGTAATTGTGACTTTTTAGCTCACAATGACTTATTTTCACACAATTATGAATTTATTTCTCCAAATCTGGACTTATCCCTCGCGGTTCTCAGAATTGAAAGATATAAAGCCAGAATTGTGAGATATAAAACTGAGAAGAGGAGTCAGAATTAATAAACTCAGAATTGTGAGCAAGTTTTTTTTTTCTGTGGTGGAAATAAGCTTTCATTATGATCTTTGCATATGATATGTAAAAGTAGTAGGTCATATGGTAATGTGATTGTGATGTCATGACCATAATGATTTCGGAGTCATTTTTGCAGTTTAGTTTGAACAAATCTCAATATTAGAGTCAAGCACTTATTTCAAAAGAGCAAGAACAATCCAGTTGGCCATGACTTAACAGAATGTTAAGTCATTCTGAACTAACCAGGAGTAGTTTTCTGTGGGATCTGCGGTGTGTTTCATGTGGTGTGGTGTGTGTGTGTTTGTTCCCCTGAGCAGAGGTCCTGCTGGGATAAGGGTCTTCTGTAGTGCCCTGTGAGCAGCTGGGACATCTGCTGCCCGCACCTCTCACGTATGTCTACAAATGCTGTGCTCACATTCTCCGATTAGTTTTATATCAGCTCAGAATGTAAAACACACGCCAGTGCACTCTTAACTCTGTAAAGCCTACTGTATCATATTTGATACGTCAATTTCTATAGCCTCTAAATGATCAACATGACACAATCCACTACGTGCCTTGTCATCTATTGATAGTTTATACTTTTTTTTAGCAAAAGGCCCTAGTGTAATTGTCCAAACATATGCCTTTATTTTTATGTCTAAAGTTTCAATAAACTGTTTCGTTTAAAAAAAGAGAGATGTCAGGCTTCACGCAGTTGAAGTCAAAATTTCTTCAAAACTGACCCAATTTTATAGCTCATAATCATTGTTTTAGGCGACTAATGTAGCTTTTCCACAGTCTTGCCACTAGTTAATGCAGTAAATTAATACAGGTTACTTCAATAACAGCAAATATAAATAGTCATGTTTCCATTGGGATACAGTATATACAGATGCTCTGGAGGATGAACTTGACTTTCAGTCTTTATATCCCGCTCACCTTCCTGGTTTTGGCCTTCCTTTGAATTTCCATGAATTTTTCATGTTTTTTGTTCTTTGTGATTACTGGATAAGGATTTGTAAAAATCATTTCAGACTGCACTCACAAATTGCACTTTCTAGCTGACTGAATATTTTATAACAGAGTGTAACTGGAAAATGTTAAATACACTACAGAAATTCCCATGACTTTTGAATAATTGATTATTTTTCATGATTGTTTTTTTTTTTTCAGGTCTGGAAATCACAATGTTCAAATTCCGTCGCATTTGTTTTCCACGACCATGGGAATCCTGTTAAATAATTATGGCCTGATTCCCAGAACAGCATTTTCATCCTTCCTATGATCGACTGCATTCAGATCTGACTATTCTGGTATGTAATGTTCACTTTTCACAATGCAGTCAATTCTTGATGGATAAATTCAAGCCCATGTCTAATTAATATTTGGCAAAATGGGTTGTTGTCTTTAAAAATAAAGGTTCTTAGTTCTTAGGTTACTAAAAGATACATTATTCTTTTAAAAAAAAAGAATGAGTTGCTCTATGGTTCATAAATTCATGGTTTCATTATAGGTTCTTTTTTTGTTTTAGATTCTGGGTTCTTTGATGGTTTTCTAAAGAACTAGAGAATCAAAAGTTCTTTGTAGAATGTAAAAGGTTCTGCGATGGCATCACACTATTTTTGAATCTAACTGGAATCAGAATTGTAATTGGAAGCGTTGCTGTCGTTCTGATTGTCTTTCTCTCAGTCTCTCTGTGAGTTATGGATTATGTGAGCAGTTTTACGATGAGCAAATCAAACAAACATGAATCCACAGTGAGACTCGGCAGACGCCAGGAACTCTCTCATTCTCTCTGATTTGGTTTGGTCTGGTTTCTCACTCACACACATTTCCAGCAACTTATTCCGAGCCATTAATTCCCTCTGAAAGCAGAGAGAGATGGAGGTATATAAAGAGCAGTTCGAGAAATCTAATGAAGTAAACTGACCCTTTGGTTGTGCTCTGTTCTGACAGAAAATAGATCAATCTAATGAAAAATCATTCTACACTAATTTTTTTTTTTGTGCGACACATTCTTAGCTTCGCAACAAGCTACTGTAAATCTCCATTAGATTCAATTGACCCTTTGCTAAGCTCCGCCCGATTGGTTTAAATCTTCCTTTGGAGATGTTTTGAAAGATTAAAATGCTTCATAGATCATGTAAATGTCCTTAAAGTTTAAAGTCCTTTAACTTAAAGGGTTTGAGTTAAGGTTTGTCTACAATATATATTAATTATAATTAGATTTATTTTAAAATAATATTTTGTGATATGCCCCCTTTTATTCCCATTCAGCGTGTGTCTGTTTCTGTTTGTGTCTTCTGTAATTGGGCGTGATGGAGTTTAATTTGTTTATTGTAAATGTATTTGTCTGAAGGGTGAGATCAATGTACATGCTGTGATCGGCTCAAACTGACTTAATACAAAGACTCTGTGGCTTTCTCTGCTTTATTGCATAATTCATCTTTTTTTCTTGTTTCAATCAGTTTTATTATTATTTATTTTAGTATTATGTATATATACTGTTATAGTAATTATTTAAAAAAATTAATTAGCTTTAATTGTTATGTTTTCATTTCAATTTTAGTTAGTTTTATTAGGTTTTTGTTTTTTAATTAAAAATGTATAAATCATCTTTAAATATTTATTTCAATAAAAACAACTTGTAGTTTTAGTTCACGTTAACAACAGGCTTCAAGTAACATACTGATCATTCAACTTAATCATCATAATCACACTGTTTATGATTTGACTTACTTTTTATATATATTTCTATATATTTATTGTAAGCTATATAGAAATATATTAGTTTTAGTAATTATAGTACTTTAACTTATGAGTTAGTTGCAAGTCAAATATTTCTAATTAAGTTTTTTGCCTAATATTTGTA